TATTAAATACTTAATTTTATATATGTAGTTGTATATAGATGACATAGAATTCTGGAATGGTAATAGGTCAAAATGATAAAGAAGACTTGGATTAGAAGATGATAATTAATTATTCCTATCTAGGAAACTTGTATTTCACTTTTGTTGGTATTTGCTTGTATGTTTTGTTGACACCAGTGACTTTTTACTGTTATCTATGAATTGAATGTAATTAATTGAGTAATGTTTACCATTTTTGAGAATATGTATGCATATAGTATGCATTGTATAAATCATACAAATAATTTCTAAGTAGTGGCTATCCCGCTATAGCATTTGTTAGACCAGCCATTACGGGTTGTTATCTGGAATTTGAAAAATTGGCTTTTTCATTTGGTACTCCTTACTCCAAAGGCTTTCTTTAACAGGTCTTGCTAAACATACTTATTTATGTTAGATATATTACAGACTCGTCCATCCACTGAATCCATGTTCCGCTGCCTATTTTTTTACAGTTGAAAGTATTTGGTAGACTGTGTTAACCTTGAAGTATCTGTTATTCTAATTGACTTATATGTTAGTGTATTTATCTGACTCAAGTGTGCCTTTCATGGCTTATTTAATACAGTGGTATGCCTGAGTGCAAACTTGGCTTAAATGATAGAGTATTGTTAGAGGCACAAGGTAGAACAACAAAGGGAAAGGCTATTGACTTAGAAGACATCAAATTTCATCAGTATGTATGCTAGACTTCCTTGTATTTAGAAAATGATAATTTAAACCTAAAATTTTGTATAATTTTTTTAAGCATGTTTCTTCTTCTTGATGCTAGTTCTCAAATTATATCTGGCCTTTTATGAAGGTGTGTGCGTTTGGCTCGATTTGAAAATGATAGAACAATTTCCTTTATACCACCTGATGGGTCGTTTGATTTGATGACATACAGGCTCAGTACGCAGGTTCATCTTTTTCTCTAGACATGACATATGTTTCTATTTTTAGAGGTAAACAGAGAAAGGGAGAATAAAAGCATTTTGAAGTCTGATGATTCTATCATCACTTTTTTTCAGGTTAAGCCTTTAATTTGGGTGGAAGCAAGTGTTGAAAAGCATTCAAAGAGTCGGATTGAGATTATGGTAAAAGCAAGGAGTCAATTTAAGGAGCGTAGGTAATGAGATTTCTTATATTTGCTATGTTTCCTACCCCCTGGTGATAGAAGATCATGTTTTAGATCTCTAGAACCTAAACTGTCTTTGCTGCCCCAACTAATTGAGTTGATTTTATAGCACTGCTACAAATGTGGAGATTGAGTTGCCAGTGCCTGTTGATGCAACAAATCCTAATGTTCGAACTTCAATGGGATCTGCATCATATGCACCTGAAAAGGATGCGTTAATCTGGAAAATTAGATCCTTCCCTGGAGGCAAAGTATGAGTTCACTTGAAATAGGCATTGAATCCTTGAATAACACCCATCTTTTGGTACCTCAATTTGATCCTGATTTATTGGATCTGGTTTTCCTCCTTGATTCTTTCAGGAATATATGTTGAGAGCAGAGTTTCGTCTTCCAAGTATAACAGATGAGGATGCAACTCCTGAGAGAAAAGCCCCTATAAGTGTCAAATTTGAAATACCATACTTTACTGTTTCTGGCATACAGGTATTGCATCATGAATCTGGTTTTCTTATATATAGAATGTAGCTAGATTATATTTTTCGGCTTAGGAAATCTAATGTGTTAGTATCTCTGGTTAAATTTAGGTGAATGTGACCTTTTATTCTAATCCGTATCTATTCTTCCCTTATCTCTTTTTTTCACTCCATTTGTGTGTTAACATTTTTATTATTTCAATGGATTTAGGGTTGTAGTAAACTTGATGAATTTGTTTTAGTTAATATTATTTTCACAATTCAAAATTCACAATAAATGTTTAAAAAATATTAATATAAACAAATAATTGTGGAAAAAGGAACTTGACATTTGGAAAGGATAAAAAACTAACAAACTTAATTTTCCATTGACCATGATAAATTGTTTAGAAAAGTAGTTTACTTGATCCATGTGAATTTGAAGACATACCCACATGTTTTGATGGTGCTATTCAGTTAGTTGAAAGGTTTGATTTGATTTGATTGTAATCAACATGTAAATGTTTGGGTTTAATAGGTTAGATATTTGAAGATTATTGAGAAAAGTGGTTATCAGGCTCTTCCATGGGTGAGATACATAACGATGGCTGGAGAGTACGAACTACGGCTTATTTAAGAACTTGTATCTTTCTTTGGCGCTTGAATTTTTCTCCGAATAATCGTGTCAACTTCCATGGTTAATGGTTTTAAACTGGTGGGTGGAAGAGGAACTCGAATGAAATTAGTTACATTTTATATGGCGTGATCATATCTCCCATCATGATAGTTGTTTTGGCAACAGATCGCGAGTTGCCCTTGTTCATAAAGTTCAGGAATTGGCAAGTGTAAGGCTGTATCTTCTGTAAGTTTTTTTGTTCAAATCTGTTTTTTGTTGGGAAAAATGCTTGATTTTTTTTCTTCTATTAGCTTTTTATTTACAATCTGTCAATCTTTTCCCAATGTCTTAAGTTTGATTTATTTGTAAGAGAATTATTAGCTTTTGTATTACGAAGACTGAATATTTCCCCCTCATTATTTTGTATTCACTATCTGACCCTCTCTTGTATTAATATATTATGCCATATCCTTTTCTGGACAAAAACGGCGTTTTTTTAACCTTCATTCAGAAAGTTTATTGAAGGCCAATGGCAGAAAAGCCTCTAGTCTTCATTTGTTTCCTAGACGACTTCTGTGGACAACACCTATGAATTTTTGGTTCGCAATCTTTTATTCTGGAATGTAGAAGCTATAATTCGGAATGATTTTTTTCAGAATATAAAATTTACTTTTTGGGACATCTACTCCGAAATAAAAGAAAGAAACCAATAATTTTATACGAAACACCCAAATTTATCATATGAACTCACCTACAAACCAAGCTGCACACGAGATGATATACTGGGTAAGTGGGATTTGGGATATCTCATCTTAATTTTTGGTTAAAGACAATCATTGAAATTTAAAAATAAGTTTGAACAACTTAGAAGTAAGAAATTCTTAATTTTCATATTAAGAATTTTTCTTCATTTTATATAATTTTTGTTCATTATTACTTAGAAGTTACAATTTTTTTGTTAACTTTTGTTCATATTATTTTATATAAATAAATATAAAAATGAAATTCATTTTTAAATGTTATAAATTACATAATTATTAGTTTCAAATGTTAAAAAAGAAATAGCTGATAGCGTTTTTCTTTTTTAATGGCAATAATAAATATATTATTACTTTCAGATTTGTATTCATATCTTTAATTTATTGTGAAGTTCATCAATGAAATATTTATTATTTTCTCAAAAGCATGTACTCGTACTTATTGCTTACAAAATTATTTCTTGAATTAAAAAGAATTATATTAAATGTCACCATTATTTAATTTATAAGTACGTTTGAAATAAAATTTAATTTTACGGTGTTATTAGTTAGTTAAGTTATTTTTGTTAGTCTTAAATATTTTATTTTTATGATCGTTAAATCAAAGATGATAAACAACGTTTATTTTGAGTGATAATAAAGCATGATTACAAATTATATAAAGTATCATCTGCTAATCCAGATCAAATAGAGTTGAGTTTAATATGATTATTTAATATTTGCATTTTATCTAATATTGTTTTTCATTTTATTTTAAAGTAATATTCAAAGTTTAAAACACTTACTTAAAGTATACAAGTGGCCATCACATATGAAATTAATATCTTTTAATTTAATTTACTAATTAAATATTAATTAACTTGTTAAATTACATTACTTTTTTTTTTTTTTTAATAGTTGACTTCTCTTTGTTTCTAACTTAAAAAGGGTTAACTGAAGCTAACTTTAAATCGGTAATTGCTTAGAACATGATCGAGTTGTGTTGTCTCCTGTTTTGTCATCGAGATTTCAGGTGATACCTCATTTGTTGTTACGATTATATTAAAATTTGGACAAATTGATGATTTTTGAGATCTAGACATGGTTCCCTCTCATTAGATTCATACTGATTATAAAAATACTTTTTAATATTATCATTATATTATCATCAAAGGCTCTTGCTACAAATAGCACCACTACATACTACAATTTTTTTTCTTAAATTATAAAGATTAAAAATATTAATTTTAAATTCATGATGAATAAATTTAACTCAAAGTAAGAAATTCAAAATTATATTTAAAGGAAAAACTAAATTTTTAAAAATAACTGTATTCTATTTATAAAATCAGGACTTTTTCACACACTTAATTTTTTTACATTAATTTAACACTATTCTTATTTATTTTTTACTTTCATCCTCTTCAAATAATATAAAAGTTTACGCTTTCCCCTATTTTACGTAGCATGTATGAATATAAAAGTGTACCATTACTTTTATTTATATAAATAAACTCTGGTAAAGTTTAAAAGTTTAATAAATGATATGAGTGGGTTTATTCATATCCTACGGCACTCATCCTTTATCACACATTCTACACCAGAAAAAGACATTATTCTAAATTGTGGAAAGGCGGTGCTTGAACTAGCTACTGCTACATGACAGTGTTCCAATCATCTGTTCTGTTCATTCAGAAATTCACACCTTTTTCACATTCCTTCTTGGCATTTGACACCCTTCTCAGGAATTCATTGAAATCATCATCTGTTCCTATCATGCTGATTCTAGCATACTTTGAATCAACACCAAACCGTTTCCCTGCTCTTGCACGAACCTTCAGTTTTTCCAGCAGATAACTCTCACAATCTTCTACGCCATCCTCACACTTCAACCATATGAAACCTGAACCATACACATACATTAATTATAAAGTTACAAAGTTACAAAACAACAATGTATATCTATTAAGAGTGGCAGAATGAAGTATACCAGGAGATGGTTCAGATGACTCATTGGTGAAGTTGCAAAAGGCCTTTGGGTACTTCGCCACTGAGAAAACCTTGGATTCATCAATAACTGCCCACAGTTTTTCCCACCTCTCTCTCAAGAGGTGTTTGCTGTATTCAAAAAACAGCTCAGACTCCATCGACCCGAAGTTTTGGTATCCATCACAAACCACTCCAATGATTTTAACCACTCGAGTTTGAGTTTCTTTTGACACTCCAATGGAGCTCAGCTGCACATACCTCGTCATCTTCTTAGCTACCTCAATGTCCTTAACCAGTGCCCACCTTAACTCACATCATAATCAAAACTTAGCATGCACTCTTTAATTCATAAAGAGAAACTAAAAATCCCATGTTTGAAACAACTTCATTCCAGTTTTGTCTGCATAAAAGATGAGTGATTGTAAAATGAAGTGTGTGATGAATTAACTCACCCGAAACGTGAACCAGCATGACCAGTGCATTTGGAGAATGTGAAGAGCATGAGATCATGGCCAGCTTGGTGAGTGATGGGAGTGTAATGTGGCCAGTAATATGCAAGATCATGAATGAGTTTCCCTTTAGCCTCAGATTTCACCACAGGTCCTCGAATAATCCCATCAGGGTTATTTGGAGAGGTTATCACCTCTATGTAAGGCTCGTTTTTCTTATACGAAGCAGCATCGCCACCCCACTGGTACAACCCTGAACGCAAAATACTAATCTCGTCTTGGTACTCCTGCAAAACATTTTCTTTATCAGATCAAGTCAACCCTTTGGAAGAGAAAAACAAAACCACGTTGTGTCAGGTTAACCAAACTGAGATTTTCAGACAGACACCCATGTTACCCATGTTTGTATATAGAATCGAATCTACATCTTCATGGGTCTACGCGTATATGTTTCCAACAGACATGTTTGCCACTTTTTGGCCTCCTAAAAACCCCAGAAAACATGGATGAGAAGGTTCCATTTGAATTTTCATTTCCATCTCCCAGAGGGGGAACAACTGGTGCTGATCATTGCCTTCGACTCAATATTTTAAGTGGTAACGGCCGTAACATGGTTGGTTCGTGAAAGAGAGAAACTTTGGCAATATCCATCGCCAAGAGACACGGTTTTGAGATCAAACGTGGACGCATTCGCACGTGACAACTGGCAGAATGGCATATGTGTATTCATCAATATTAAAACTTATTTTATCTTTTACTTGTGGATCTCACAAATTCTAGTTTTGACACAGTGAATGCTATCTTCATAGATTGTGTCTTCTTCAACATAATTATACAAATCAACTCATAAAAACATTAAGCATAGAATTCAAGGAAATGTTTTGATGTTGGGAGATAGAGAGATCGATCGAGGGGTTTCATTTAAAATACAATTTTTTCTTGTATGTTTTACAAAATGAGGATGGAGATATGTTTTGAAAATTACCATTTGTTTTAGATTATTCTATAATTCAAAAGATATAAATTTAATTCTACAATATTTTAAATTTGATTATGATAGTCAAATTTGGAAATAATTTTATAACCTTACGTTGTAAAAGCACAATTAAACCTATTCAAGCCCATTAGATTCAAACTTATCAATCTGAAGATAAATATTTATTAAAAAATTAAAGTTATGAGATCCTCCTTTGGTTACTTTTTGATTGTTATTTAAATTTTTTATAAAAATAAAAAATATAATATTTTTTCTTATATGCATTTTATAAGAAAATTATATGTTTTATTTTTATGTTAATATATATATATATATATATATATAT